CAATGTCCACTTTTGGTGTAGGTCAAGATTTCTGGAAACCCCCGAAATCTGGGTTAGCCCGCTTGTCCTTAAAAGCGACGAAATATACACAGAATGATTCTGAGAATGTGCTCAGCAATTTTTATGACATAGCTATGGTTCAGGGATTTTGATTTCTGTAATCAAAAAGTTTTTGAAAATTGTCTATATATAGTCAGAAAAAGTGAGCACACTATTATAATGAAATTGTTGTGGTTTAGGGTTTGGGTAGTTTCTGTGATCCAAAAACTTTTGAGAATTTTTGTTTTGTTTTGCGTATAAACAGAATGTGCTGAGAAGTTTGTTTTGCCACTGTTATAGTTTAGGGCTTTGAGTTCTGTAACTGTAATCTGAAAGCTTTTGAGAATGTTCTACAGTATACAGATATATAGACAAAATAAGCTCAGCAGTTTTTATGACACTGTTATGGTTATGGGCTTTTGAGTTCTGTGATCCACAAACTTTTGAGAATTTGTTTTTTCTGGATATAGACAGAATGTGCTGTGAAACTTCTTTTGATTCTGTTATTGTTTAGAGCTTTTGGTTTCTGTAATTGGACAGATTTTGAGAATTTTCTATATATATAGACAGTAATGTGTACCCTGTATTATAATACAATTGTGGTGGTTCAAAGCTTTTGGTTTCTGTAATGACGAAGTTTTTGAGGTTTTTCTATGGTATATACGACAGAATGTGTTCAGACATTTTTGGGAAACCGTTATTCTTCAAGGCTTTGGGTAGTTTCTGTGACCCGAAAACTTTTGAGAATTTGTTTTTTCTGGATATAGACAGAATGTGCTGAGAAACTTGTTTTGATTCTGTTATTGTTTAGAGTTTTTGGTTTCTGTAATTGGACAGACTTTGAGAATTGTCTATACATAGACGGTAAAGTGTACCCTGTAATTGTTATGATGGTCTTGTGGTTTAAGTTCAAGGCTTGTGGTTTCTGTGACCCGAAAGCTTTTCAGAATTTTCTATATATTGACAGTAAAGGTTCAAAGCTTTTGGTTTCTGTAATTGGAAAGGTTTGGAGAATTTTTTGTAGATAGATCTATATATAGACAGGATCTCTTGAGAAAGTTGTTTTGGCAGTTATGGTTGAAGGCTTTTGGTTTCTCTGATTGAGAAGCTTTTGAGAATTTTCTATTTATAGATCTAGGGCTGTTTGAAAACAACAAACAACACAACAACATCATTGTTATTATTCTTATTATTATCATTGTTATTATTCTTATTGTTATCTTTGTTATTATTCTTATTGTTATCTTTGTTATTATTCTTATTGTTATCTTTGTTATTATTCTTATTGTTATC